AAAATCACAAAAATATAAAATGAAGAAAAAGAAGAAATGAGGAAAACAAATCAATACGTTGAGCCTTGCAAGGCCCTTAATTCAACAAGGCTCATGTGAAGTACAGACATTCTGTATTCCATTTGTTAAAATTCAACCATTTCATGATTTTGTATATTAATTAATTTTCATCAATTGAAAATAATTCTAAATTGAAATTATTGTTAAAATTCTAATTGATTTGTGTGTAAGTCAAAACAGAAGCACAATTGCAAAGTCAGTGCAGTTATCCTGAGTTTGTATTCATTTATACTCAACTGATCAATTGATAACAAAATTTATTCACTGAAATTACAAAAACTACCCTGAAGTTCTATGAAAACAAGCTCAAATCTGCCCCTAAACTTTATTTTCCTCCACAAAAAGCCCCTGCATTGATAAAAAAAATACTGAACCTCCCTATACACAGTCTGTCTAACATTCCACAATGAGATAAATCATAAATGGCAATTTTATGATAATTTTGATAATCATCTGGTGTCCTTTTGTAAATATCTAAAACTGAATGAATAATTTTAATAAAAAAAATAAAAGAATCTGAAAAATCAATTGTGCTTCATCCTCCTGTTTGTAATTCTTCTCTTCTTTCTCCCTGCACCTATAAAATTGTGCAAAATAATTAATCAATCAGCCACAAATAAATAAATAAATAACCTAAATAAAAAGTAAAACCACACACACAAACAAAAAAGACACATACTTGAGCTGTATGTCCTTGTGGGCTGGACAACCTGCGGTATAAAAACCCCTGTCCCATTTCCACTTCTCTCCAAGCCCAGCACAGATTTATCCTTCTTAATCTCAGGCCAATCGTAATAGTAAAAGCTGGGCCCAGAAACAATACCGGGCCCATATCCTTGTTTTCGGGCTCTGGGCCCATTCAGAGCCTTGTCCTCGGACACTTCTTCTTCTTCCTCTTCCTCAGCTGTCAAAAGCAAGACCTGCCTTTTGAGCTCATGGTAGAAAACATCGTATTCCTCTTCAAATTCGTCGAGAAAATTATGAGAATCCATTAAAGGTGCTTCCTTTCTGTGTTTGCCAGTGCAAATTGCGAGTGTTTGGGATTATATAGTTAAGGAGCCCGGGGGCAAAAAAGGAAGAAAAAGAGGTGCTTTGATTATGGTCAATGTTCAAAGATGGTGGGAAAATATGGCCCTTGTACCCGACATCGAAATAAGCAGGTGCCAAGAACGTATCGATATTTATTTTCTTTATTTGATACTAATGTAATTTTTTTTTGAAAAAATTGGCATTAAATTTCATTTATTTAGTAATTTTGGGGGGTAATTGTGTCTTATTAAGGTAGGTCTAGGGGAGACTCATAAGTCACTAGTCATCATGCGTTGAATGCTGAATAGTTTTCATTTCAAGTGTGGGGGACTCAAAATTTAATGTGATAACAAACTTGGCTTGAGACAGCCAACCTAATTATTAATTTTGTGAATAGAAAATATATTTATACTATTAAAATGTCAAATTTTTTTGTGTTGTTTCTATAAAGTATACTTTATATTATCAAATGTTAGGCAATCTAAAAGTTAAGCGGGTCAATCCGTCATATTATGTGATTAATAATGTATACTTTATATTATTAAATATCACATTTTTATTTATTTTAATTTTTAAACTATGATATTTTTTTAATAAAGTACGCGTATTTATGAGAAAATTATGCCTAATTCAATGGTCAGGTTGACTTGACACAAAACTGATTGGTTGTTCGAAAGTGAGGAGTGAGGACCGATCAAATGGTCCACATTTCTTCTTCCATCTCTTTTTTATTGTTTTTCGTTTCAAATTTTAAAATAATTTAAAATAATTACAATTAATTAACAATGAAAAAATATTTAAAATTAAACAAAAAAAAATGAACATTTCAATATTATTTTCCACATTTTTATATATTTTCAAAATTAATTTGATCGCTCTTAAAGGGACTTAATTAATTGTGCCAGCTCATTATTAATTCACATCGACTACGCGAACAACAATTTGTGGACTCAATTTGTAGAGATAAAGAGTGACAAGACGTCAAAGCTCGAATACACGTAACTTTGTTAAGTAGGATCCAATTTCATGTCTAATTGTATTCAATTTAGATTTATTAAAATTTTTAAACATTTTTAAATATTTATTTTAAATTTAAAAAAATCTTATAAAATCTGGACGTATTTAACTTATTTAAAATTAAGATTTCTTAACACTTTTTAAAATTTGGTGATATTTCTAAAAAAAAAAAACTGAAATCCTAAAATTCCTTCAAAATCTGAAAAAATATTAAAAAATCTCAAAATATCACTTGAAATTTCAATTAAATACATCCCTTTTAATACTTAGAAAAAAATATTATATATGTATATGATCAGTTGCTAGAGAACACANGACAGCCTAAACCCATTCCCTCCCCCACCACTTCTCTTCACCTCCTCAATCCTCCTACCCGAAGCCGCTGCCGACACAGTCGTGCAGTACAAATCAATCGTCTGCAGGCTCGAAACATCCCCCAAACCCAACGGCAATCCCTCCAAACTCCCACAGTGCCTCACGCACAGACTCTTCAGCCTCGGGAACTGATTTCCCGTCGCATGCCACCTCACCAGATTCAACCGCCCCATCTGCAGAAACCTCAACCCCCGAAAACCCCCGTCCGCTGCTCTCCACGTCTCCCCCTCGAAAGCATTGTCCTTCAGCTTCAGCGTCACCAGATTCTCCAGCATCCCCACAGTCGCCATCTCCTTCCACTCGAGCAGTGTGTCCGAAAGCGTCAGCTTCCTCAGTTTTGGCGGGAATTTATACGTCCCGGGAAGCCCCGTCAGCCTCGCCTCCGACGGCGGCCGGGGGAACACGTCGTTCAAGAGCTTAAGGCTCTCGAGATGCCCCAATTTCCCGAGGCTGTCGAAACCGACTCCTCTTACCTCCATCAGCTTCGACAGCTGGCCGCGGATGCCGAGGGACTTCAAGCCCGGCGCGCGGGCGAAGACGTCGTCCGTACAGCTGTCGGGCGATATCGCGGAGAGAGTCTGCAGGCCTCCGACCATTATCGTCGCATCGTTTTTTTTCCTCGACTTGGAGAGCGGGCCCGGGAGTGACGTGGACGCGTTCGTCTTCACGTGCCTCAGCTGAATCATTTTCCAGAGGTCGGCTTTGACCTCGAGCGTTCGTGAGGAAGTGTGGACGATGAGGGTTTGGAGGTTCCAGAGAGATGAGAGAGTCGAGGGCAAGATCTTGCTGCCGATCGAGAGGACGAGAAGTCTGAGGTGGACGAGGTGGGCGAGGCCGGTGGGGAATCGAGGGAAGATCAACGTGCGAGCGTCCAAGACGCGGAGGAGCTTGAAAGCGGCGGGGATGGACGAGACGTGCTCGGGGGGGAGGGGAGTCTCGTCGGGGGAGAAGGAGAGGAAGGAGCGGATGTGCGGGCCCGCGGGCCCTGACGAGATATAGTCGAGCACGCGGGAATGAATGGATAGGCGGCGGCTGCGGAGGCCGTCGAGGGCCGGGACCGAATCGAAACGCCTGATCTCGTGGAAGAGCTTCTCCTCCGCTGCCTCCTTCTTGCAGAACTCGCGGAGCACGTCGTGAACGCGGCAAGTCTTGATTTTGCCGTTCGGTTTCAATCGTCCCACCATCACCAGGTTCCGACTCACGAGATCCTCCAGGTATTCCTCCCCGATATCCTCCAGGATCATGTCCTAAAAGAATTTTTAAAATGAAGAGATTTCATTTTACCTAGTGCTGTAAAAGAACCGAATAGATAGATTGGGCTGTTCGAGCTCGTGTTCATGTTCGTTCGTTCGTTTATTTTTCGAGCTCCTTCGTTTAATTGTTCGTCAAAGTTCGAGTTCGTTCGTGTTCGAATAATTTAATACATAAACTTTTTAAATATGTTTGATTAACTCGAAATTTGTTCGTTCGAACTCGAAAATAAAAAAATAAAATAAAAATATTTTTATATTTTATATTTTTTATTAAAAATATTATGTAGATATATAAAAAATAAAATAAAATTATATTAAATTAACGTTCACGAATGTTATTGAACGTTCATGAACGAGCTAGTGTTCGTTCGATTATTAAACAAGCCTAATTTTCTGTTCGAACTCGGCTCGATCAACAAACGAACGAGCTTTTGTCGAACACGAACGAGCTTTTGTTCGCGAACCTTCGGTTCGGTTCGTTTACAGCTCAAAATTTTTACCCTTATATATATATATGTATCATACAAAATTGAAAATGCGGCTAGCACCTCGTTTTCCTGCACGAAACCCTCGGCAATCCACAGGCGTACAAGCCTCCACACGGGGATCTCGAAATCTTCCGGAAACATCCCAAAGTAGAGAAAGCAAGCTTTGAGGTGGTACGGCAGGTGATTGTAGCTCATATCTATGAAGCTATCCACACGCTTCTGCTCGTCCATGGAAATAAACGCATCCACACTCTTCGCCACCCTCTCCCACCATTCGGTCCCCTTCTCGAGCAAAATACCTCCGATCACCACCACCGCCAGCGGGAGTCCCTTGCACTCGTCCGCAATATGCCGCCCGTCCCTCACGAGCTCATCCGGACATTCCTCCGACCCAAGAGCCTTCCTCCGAAGCAGCTGCCAGCTCTCGTCAGAAGTCAAGAACCGAAGGTTATGAGGCTCGGAGCTCGGGTTGGCATGCTTGGCGACTTTCCTCATGCGGCTCGTGATCAGTACTCGGCTGCCCCTGCTGTTTCTCGGGAAGGCGGGCTTGAGGTCGTTCCAGGCCTCCTCGGACCACACGTCGTCAAGGACGACCAGGTACTTATTCTGGTCGAGCGTGCGGCGGATCTCGGTCGCCAGCTGCTCGTCGTTCATTTTGTTGGTTGTGTCCGTGACGCGGGTGATGGAGGCGAGGATGGAGAGGAAGACTTCCCTGCGGCTGTAGTCCTGAGAGACGTAGGCCCAAGCTCGGCTGTAGAACTCGTAACTGATGTCACGGTCACGGTATATCATCTTGGCGAGGGTCGTCTTGCCGAGGCCCGGCATGCCGATTATCGAGACGACTTGGAGCTCGGCGGGACCCTCGGTGAGGAGTTTGATCACTTTGTTGGCTTCGTCCTCGAAACCGACCACGTTGTCTTCCTCGACGATTGGAGGCTGTGGAAAAAAAATGGAGGAGAGAGACTATGATGAAAATTTTTACAAATTTTACTTTGTGGGGAAATTGGACTAGGAAAGATTGGAACTTTGATGCATACGTGCTTAGATAGTACTTCACATTCCATGTTTTACAGAATATTGGGTAATGTTGTATAAGACCAACTCCAACACTCTCACTTTCAAACTCTCTTAAAGTTATCTCTTTAAACTAACTCCAACAGCAGCCTCCTTGTCAAACTCCCCAAATTTGACCCCCCCCTAAATTCCCCCTCCTTATATTTTCATCACCATATATTGTTTTAACTCCAACAGATTCTCTATTTTGCCAACTCTCTATTTTTTATACTTTCACAAACATACTATGCATTTTACAATGTAAAATATAAATATTGTTGTAGTATAATATGTGTGTGGAAAAGATTGTAAAACAAACTAACTACAACCATATTTGGTGAATCATTTTCACAAACATATTTGATTTGATTTTTAGACTACAACCATATTTATATTTCACAAAAATATCTGGATTGTGAACCGTAACTATTTCTGGTTTCACAAACATATTATTTTTTGTCCTTTGACACACTAACATATTATGCAAATATCATTTTTCATAGGAGCACTAATTTTAGTTTCTTTTTCAATCTCTACAGGTTGGAAATTCTCTTAATCAATTCAAGTGAAATTGTTTTATTTTTGTCAAACAATATATTTATTTGGATGCTAAGCTGACTTCTTGTGAGCAGCACAGTTCCACCGGTTTTCACACACCACTAATGTGTGTGGACCTACGGCTAAACCCCAGACGGTGAAATTTACCAATTTTGAGCCAATCAAACAACAATCAAATTCACCTCCAAAAGACTCGCACTAAGAAAAACATTCAAAAGTAATCTACAAACTCAAAGACCAAAATTGTGATCACAAGAATAGAGCTATTAAACAAAACGAGTGAGCACAGCTCGGACTCGGACTCGTTGATCAAAGCTTGTTTAGTTATCAAGTCAGCTCAACTTAGCTCAAAGATAATTTTTATGTATATAACTTTCTATAGCTGAGCTCGATCTCGATTAGTGGCTCTTTTCCAAAATCAAGTTTAATTTTACCTTTTTAACCTTGGAGGCCTTGTCGGGTCCATCGTTGATTCCAACCCCGACACCTAACCCGTACCACTTGTTGTCGTAGATATCCTTGACCTTGGACCGAATCCCCTCAATCTCCCTGGCCAGTTGCCTGAGCTTGGCCGGATAATCGAACATGTGCAGAGCCTTCTCGATGGGCTTGCGGGCCTTGTGCTCGGCCTTGTGGGCCACGAACTCGTCGACGGCGTCCTCGGCCTCGAAGACCACGTTACGGATCTGCTTGACCAGCTCCTTCAGCACCTGGTTCTGCTGCCGCCGGTGGCTCTCGGCGAAGTCCTTGAGGAAGGCCTTGAAGAAGCTGAGGTCGTTGTAAAGGTACTCCACCTGGTCCTTCACCCCGTCGATTAGGCCCGCGTTGTACAGGAGGAGCTGCTTTAGGTTTACCAGGAGGAACTCCACGGCGGCGTCGGCCATGGCTCTCGATGAGGAATTTCGTCGAGCAGGTGGTGGGCTGCCGGAGACTTGATTTTTTTTTTTCCTTTATTTTTGAAATTTCGTGGGGTGAGTCTCATTTCGAGAGACGGACCAGTGATCTAAATATAAGTATGACGGACACGAGTAAATTGTAGACACATTTTCCAGCTAAAAAGAAAAAAAAAATTGCTAAAATGAAGTCAAATATCCTTTAATTTTGTGCGTGTTGGTGGGGATATA